CACAACAAGGAATGGGGTGATTTAAGAAATTACAGCACTGGCATTTTTTTTTTAAGCTTTTACAGAATAAACATAGAGAATGGGAGGGAAACTTTGTCCCCCTCTGCTCCTGTTCTTGAAGTGAATACATATTTGTGTTTGCAATAAAAGGCCATTTTTACATTAACTGTCTGTAACAGCAGGAGACAGAAAAACTAACACAATCTCCACATCATACACAGGATGATCTTCATATCACGTGGACCTATTCTCAAAACTATTATTTATAAAAGATGACTAGGAAAATGCACAATGCATCTTTTCTGTGTCACCACAAGGGCAACGTCTAAAGAAGTTTGGGATCTTTGGGATCTTGTACATTTTAGATTTTTGTTTTTTCCTTTTGGCTTTCCTTAGTAAATTTAGCAGCCATGCGGGCCACTGTGTTTAATTAAGCTTTCAAAAGTCCTGACAATGCCAACAATTGTAGGACACTTCTGCGGCTCAATCATGCAATCACTGTGACAGTTCTATTTACAATTTGTCTTAGAAAGAGTTTCTCTGACATTGTACTTTGACAAAACATCCAAGCTGCCAGTTCACAACCTTTCTCTGTCTTATTTACAAATACAGCTTGTATATAGGACTCCCAGTTTCATGAACATGGATCTTTGGAGAGTGGCCTCGCACACATAGGCTCCCTATGAAAATCCTAGGTCTTTATTAGGAAACAATATTCTCTACTCGCTGGATTCTGAAGATAAATAAAATGTTCACCAGTATATTGTTTTTTGGTAGTGGTGGTTCTTTTTTTGTTTTGTTTTAACTGCCATGCTGAAAATTCACTTCAGAGGTCAGTCATTTTTATTCAGAATTGCATAAATAAAGAGAAAAGAAAAATAAGTAGTCATAATAGCATACTATAATTTATAGTCTCATTTATAATTACACCATAAGGTACACAAGTACATCCTCCACTTCAGTCTGAGCTAGGAGAGAATCAGAATGGATACAAAAAAAAGGTGAGTTGATTTTCTAAATTCTGAAAAGCATATTATATTTGATTTACTTTTAAGTAGCATACTAATATATTTCCATTTGGAACTGGTAAATCCCCCTTCTTTAGAGTATCTGTCTGATATATCATTATCTAAATATCAGCTACACTGTCTAGGCAAATAATTTTAAATACCCTGATATAAATGTCTATTTTCATGATTCTAAAGAGAAAAATGTTATATATCAACAGCAGCAGACTTTACTACATTTTATAGGACTTGTCATATTTTTTTCTCTATTCTCTCAAAAAGCTAACTTTATGACAGCCCAAACCTAATTTAAAGATTCCTATGTGCAATAAGCCAAAACCTCAAATCTGACATGATGGGATAATGTTTGGGTCTTTTCTATAATGGAACAGTACTTTCACATTCAGTAATCTTCGATGAATATTTCCCCCATCATAAAATATCAGACTAAAACAAAACAAAACAAAACCCCTACTGAAAGCTCTGACTGCAAGTCAAAGGCTGCTGATATCTGAGGGTGGATATTTGACACACATATTGATGAACTGGGCCCATACAACATAAGCTGTTAATTCCCAGCTAAATTAATACTATTTCAATGATCTCAATGGATCACAATCACACAATATTTTTAATATTTAAATAAAATGAAAAAAGCAACCTGATCAACATCTATGTGTACAGCTCATATGTGTATGTGGATGAGGCAGGGGAGCACGTGCCCGTCTGTTCACCAGGTAAAAAGAATCCTCTCTAAAAAATACTCGGCTTGGGCCAGGCACTGTGGCTCACCCCTGTAATCCCAGCACTTTGGGAGGCCGAGGCAGGTGGATCACCTGGGGTCAGGAGTTCGAGACCAGCCTGGCCAACATGGTGAAACCCTGTCTCTACTAAAAATACAAAAAACTAGCTGGGTATGGTGGTGCATGCCTGTAATCCCAGCTACTTGGGAGGCTGAGGCAGGAGAATCGCTTTAACACGGAAGGCAGAGGTTGCATGAGCCAAGATTGCACCACTGCACTCCAGCCTGGGCAACAAGAGCAAAATTCCGTCTCAAAACAAAACAAAACAAAAAAACCACTCAGCTTAGAGAGGCCTGAGTACAGTTAAAATGCATACCATTTTACTCAAGATTTAAAGAACTCTGCCTTATTCTCCTATCTGAAAGCCTGAATTCTAAGCTTTATTTATCTTAGGAAGAAGATCTGTCACTGTTTTATTCTTGCTTCCTGTCTATAAAATGGTACAGGCTCACAGTGAACTCAAATCCAACTTACATCACTTTAATAAAGCCTTTCCTACCCAGCATGCTTAAATGACTACCTTTTATGTGGTTGCCAAACATATTCTTCTAGAGATTCATCAATATATCTCTTTCCTTAATACAAAGCATTGCTTCTCCTTTCTTTTTGTGACACAATTCAAATATCTACTGAATGATTACTGTTATTGTTTCCTTCCTCATCATAAAAAGAAAAGCAGACTTGGAATTGTGGAGACGTGCTTTAGAGAAATGGGCTGGGGGTACACACACAGCCGTCTTCCAGAACTTCACTTCAGGGGCACCTGAGGGCCAGAGCATCGGAATTTATGTGCAATGGTAGAATGTTAATTTCACCATAGGAAACTCTTAATTCATTACTGTGAATTATGAGAAGTCGTGATTCTAGTTGCTGACATCTCACTTTGAGATGTGACCACACTATTTATGTTCAGCCAATTCCAGGGTGGGAACAGGTGATTAAACACAGTGAAAGAAATCAAGACTTCGTAATTATTCATGCATGAAAGGTTTACCTCACCTAGGTCGCAACACTTGTTGTGCACCCATTGAATAATCTTAGATATCTTAGAGAGCTTTCCATCCCAGTTAAATGATTGGTTATTAGCTCTATAAAACATATTTTAAATATGCTTTTGGTTTTGGCTTCTCCAGGCTCTGCTATTGTACTCATTCTTTTAAAAAATAATAACAGAACCTTCAGACAACCAGGGAGTTCAAGCAAATATCTTTTATTTCCCTACATAGATTCACAACTATAGCAGTAAAAGCCTTAACTATACGTAAGGCCTTCTCCCCAGCTTTTAGATTCTTCCTCTAAATACAAAGGCACAGAGTTTTTGAGCTGGTTAATCTGAGACTGAATAACCTATTTGGGACCTCAGTAAGAAGTGTGGTTTTAATTCTTGCTTGACAGACACTGTGTTTTGTCTTTTAAACGAGCAGCTCGATATGTAAATACGATGTTACATCACGCAAGTGTTACTCCATATTTGGTGATTTAGCAAGGCTTTGGATCTCCGAAGACGACAAATCCCCTTCCGCCTGCTCTTGCTTCATTAATCATGCCTTACACTTCTGTTCATTTTCCTTCCAGTCACAAGACAACACATGGAATTGGTCATTCCTATAGCCTACTGGGGGGAAGGGGAGATAAAATCTTAACCTACATGTCACATAAGGTAAATGTGGTGGATTCAAGAAATACACTCTGCAAATGCAGCTTCCCTGGCAGCAGATTTCTCATTTCACTAAAGGGAAAGTATCTGAGTGCTATTACAGAAAGCATTTTAAAAAGAAAGAAAATGCCACATTTCGTTTCAATGATCAAATTCTAGATGGGGAGAGGAGAAATAATATGACATTTAATCCCCTCTGGACCACTGACCTATTATGGTTCAACTTTGTGGTCAAACTAGGTCCGAGAGATAAGTTCCAGTGAATCAATTGATGATATACACTACCTTTCCTAAAACTGAAGAAACCTCTTGCCTTTCGGGAGATGGGTGGGGGGTTGATGGAAGAAAGTGATCTACTAACAGGCATGGCACATCAGTCATCACAGAATCTGCATTGACTTTGTCTAACGTATTCAATCAAAAAATGTTTTGAGGGTCACTATAAAGCGTTCTGTTTATTACTTAGAGTAGGGAATTTAAGTCTCACTGCTAGCCTTTAATGCCTTTTCCCTTGAGCTGCCGAGAAAGCCACACACCTAGCTACCTCCCTGCTAAAATTAACCGAAGGAGGGAGGGCTGTTGAATACGTGTGTGTGTTTTTCCAAGAAAATTTTTACATTGTGTTATAGCAGAAACAGTGGAGTCTGGACTGGACATTTGTAAGGGTGACATGTGGCTGTGTAAACCACAAACAAAATCAAGATACATCTGTCAAAACCACATCAGAGACAAGAGAGAGCACAGAGAAGCATTTATCATTTAGCTGAGGAGGCAGGCTGCAGGGAGCAGCCGTTCCTGTCAAACCAACCTTTTGAAATTTCCAACATGCCCTTAAACTTTTCGAGTAAGCATGTCTGTGCGCTTCAGCAACTGCCCTCTCTACTCTGGCCTGGCCAGTCGAAAATGGCATCTTAAAGTCAAGGTCATGGTGTCATCCCACCACAGGGCTGTGTTTAATTACAGCCCCATCCGGGCTGACAGCCAATATGGATCCAAGGCTAGCCCTGAAGCTCAGTTAACTCTTTCCACCTCCTCCAACTACCCTGCCAGCCCACCCTACTTCAGGGATGCCTTGAGAACGAGCTGAACCCCTAAGGAGGCCTAACCAGATGTTCTGAGTCAAACAAGTCATTGGCTGAACTGTAAATGCCTATATGGCCAATTTGCCTGTGACACGTCACCAAGGCTGGAAATGGACAATGGAAGCTGGACTAGATGTAGTAAAGACCAATACTTCAAAATGAGAAGGTGGGGACAGGGAAGAAAAGAAATCCAAAATCAACGGACCCAGAGAGAGAGTGTCGGGTGTGTACCTATTCTGCCTACATCTGATTTGGTGAGGTGGAAAATATTTATTTTTCCATGTTCTGGACTTAAGCAATAGAAATGATTGTTTTAACATTACAGGGCTGTCATGGACAGTCACATGGAGAAACAGAGAAAGCACTTCACCACTCCTTACTGCTTGGCTACAGCATCTCTGAAAATGAAAAGAAAACATGCAAACAGGTTTTCTCCTTGCTTCTCATTTACCTGCTATGTGTTCCTGTTTGGGGCAAATTCCTCTAGATGACGTTGATAAACAATCGTCATCCTCTGGCGTGACCTGGATGCCAACCTCCACGGGATTGGTTGCTTTTTTCATCTCGATTGGTGAAGGGGAAGGTGGCTTATCCACAGCTTTTTCTAAGCAGAGGCTGCCATTGCATTGTTTCCGTTTGTGCTCGATAAAAATAAGAATGTCCCCCAATGGGAAGTTCATCTGGCACTGCCCACAGGTGAGGAGGTCATGATCCCCTTCTGGAGCTCCCAACGGGCCGTGGTCTGGTTCATCATCTGTAAGAATGGCTTCAAGAGGTTCGGCTGTGGTTGGAGAAACAAAAGCACAATTATTAGACAGCCAGAGAGGAGAGAAAAGGGGGAAAGCACATCTCAGCCCCATGCCATCCCACCACATCATGTAAAGTGTTTCTAGGTTTCTCTATGTAATACCCAGAAAATGTGAGCATACAAAATGGAAAAGGATGTGAAGGTTATCAACAAGAGAGCAGATTTATCAATGAGGCAAATCGTCATGTATGTAAAGAAAACAGTCTTACTTCATAACTCCAGAGAACACACACACACATTTACACATGCACACACACACAGCAACAAATGTGTCTGGTTTGTAAGTTTAGAAAGAATGCTACTTAAATAGTTAACACAGGGAACATAAAGAAAGCTTAAATAATAACTACAAGAAAAACTGGTTAAAAAAAAAAAACATGGATAGAAACCAAATTTTTTTCTTTTTTCCTGTACACTAAGTTGTCCATTGTGCCAAAGAATGAAAGAAGAGGTGAATAAACACACACACCCTTTGTGTGTGAATGTATATACTCCTAAGTATACAGACATGCTTCATAAATTAGAAAGCTACTATGTCACACGAAAAATGTGCCACATTTACACTGCCGTAATACAAAAATGACTGCATGTACCTAGGAAAAAGATCTAAATAATAATCATGTCGCAGCATAATTCACACTGCCAAAAACCTTTCTGCTCTCACTCTCAGCAGTGCCACAAAATCAAAGAAATACCAAATTCACTGGCAATACTTCTCAGACACATTAGCTAAATGGGATACTTTTGAGTACTTAAGAAAATAAGCCAATTAGTCATTTTTTTTTATTCTGAGAAAAGGAATGCCTAAAATATTCTAAACATGTTTGCATTTGGTGCCATCCACGACTGAAAATCAGAATGGTCAAGCAAACATCACATTTTAGAGCAAGGCTGAGAAGTCCTTTCTTTAGACTTGAAATACTTCACCTAATGTTTTCAAAGTTGACTAATTTTCTGAATGAGCTCCAAAATGCTTCATTATGAGACTATTTCTGCACACATAATCACCAGCGGATGGTATAACAAGGTAGACATGTCTTTCTTTCCTGTTTGCTTTTTTTTAACTTTGAACCAAAATACTCCAGCATCTACTTTACCAGCTTCTATCATTTTTTAACCTTCCGAAGGGGAAAAGAGAGTTGGTAAGTCTCTGCTTGTGAAACCTTATGCTTGCTCTATCAAAAAAAAAACAAAAAATCACAAAATACAAAACACATCCAGGATGCTGCCAGTTAATAAAACGGAAGCAGAAAATGTACAAGTCTTAAACAGTTAATCAGTCTGACCTTCTTTAGCAAGCTGCCAATTTCACATTTAATGAACTTAAAGCCACAGAGAATCAAAAAATAGATTTTAATTTGAGTGTAGAATATTGGAACAGATTTTGATAAAGTGCAAAAATCCAGTGAACTCAGGTTAAATTTATTTCAACCCTACCCAGGCTGAATATTGAGGGGGAAGATCTGGAGTAACTCCCAGATGTGCTAGGTGAAATAATATTGAGAGAGCCCTGCCTAGCTGCACCTGTGCTCAAGTAGGACATCTCATAATTTCTAGCCTCTGGTACTCCTCCTAATTTAACATAAGGTCACCATAGGAATATGAAGGTTATATTCCTACTAATAAAGACAGTAAAGTAAGCACTTATGTTTCTTTGCCCAACATACTGGCCAAAAGATAAATACAGAAAACATATGCATACTTTTCAAATAAAAGAAGACAAACGGAAATGCTTCTGCATTGTGCCTTTATGTCATTTTTCTCTTACATTTGCTTTCATTTTGGCCAAGTGAGGAATAGGGAACTCATTCTCCAAATATTCCTGTTGTCTGAATTAAGGATTTTAAGTACACATCTATAAATGTGGCTTTTTTGTTTAGCATTAGCTATAAGTTCTGAGGTTTACAGACTGAAGGGAGACTCAAGAAAATATTTTATTTTATCAAAGTTAGTAGCACATGGAACCTTTGCAAAAAAAATTTTTTTTAATTCCACCGTTAAGATTCATTTTTTTAAATTCCCAAGGCCTGTCACATTTCTAAAAGTGGGAATATTATTTAGGTGCAAAAGGAAATATTCTCCTAAGTATCAAATAGTTAAAGGTAATGTGGTTCAAAACAGACTTGGTTAAAGTCTTCTAAATGTAGTGACTGAACTGATTTACAATCAAAACCGGGAAATGAAGTGGTAATTCAGAGGTTGCTGATTACACCTCCACATTTCACCTAATTAATTTTATAGGAGGCAAAGTTCTTGAAAATAACAAGATGATCAAATGTACAGATATAAAACCTGTAACCTCAACATTTTCTATGCTCTTAACGTAAATTATTGCTAATTAACAAGAATTATATCCTAATGTATGAAATACATTTAACATCGGTCTCCTTGCAAAACATTTGGCTAGTCATGTTCAGAGAAATATCAAAATGTGTTTTTATTATTGCTGCTATATTCTTAAAAATCAGACAAAATGGGACACAAAGAAAATATGAAAATACAATTCTCATGGTGTAATCTACTGATTTGCATTGACATCTTTTCTCAGTGGCAATCAACATTTCCTTTCTGGGCATCTGATAATTTCTCCGCATTTTAATGCAAATTCCCTTTCCCTAAAAACCTTCCTAACCTCAGCCATTTACCCCCTCCCTCAATTCAACTCCATCCTCCTTCGCCCCAACAATACCAACGTTTCTAAGCTCCGGCCTAAACTCCGGCTACAAAGCAGGGAGTCCTCGATTGAAGTGGAAGGGAGTGGGCAAATAATCATAATAATTAGCCGCGAATTCTCTCTACGAGGGGAGGAAGAAATAGAAAATAAAATGCTTCTACGTTCAAACAGCAAGACAGCCTGGAATGTCTAAATGTCTCAGTGGCAGACTGAGATCTCTTTCCTCTCTGTGTAGTTGCGAAAGAATAAATTTAAGGAAAAAAATAATCCTTATAAGAAAAGTCGGTAAGGAGCGAGGGAAACGAGAGCTGCTGGGGAGCGGAGGGGGAGGGGAAAAGGGAGATGTGTCTTCAAGTTTGCTTTCCAAGTCCTTCCCCTTGATTGTTTTAGCCGGGTAAAAAAGCAAACGGAGGCTGAAATTCAGAGAGAAAAAGCAAAGAAACAAAAGCAAAGCCGGGGGCTACGAGCCTGGGGCAGGGGGCCTGGCAGGGGTGGACCGTGCAGAAAGTGAAGTTGGGCGCCGGGACTCAGGCACAAAGCGAGCAGCGTGCAGGCTGCAGTCTCCCGCCGCGCTTGCTGCGAACACGTGCAGCAGCGGCCGCGGGGCCTTGGGGCCCGGGGGCCAGAGGCGGAGGGCAGCCAGGGGCCCTGACTGCTGCCTCCGTGCCCGTCCAGCTCCGCCGCGGGGTGACGGTTCCCTGGGCCCGCCAGTTGGTGAAAAAGGACGTGAGGTTTGGAAAACCAGGCTGGTTAACCTGGTGCAGTCTCAGTATCTCCACGCACACCCCAAGCGCGGGTCCTGAAATTTATTCGGTGTCCACAAGCTTACACTTTTTACTTTGGGGTATCTCTGCAAATGCGTTTCTCCCGCAATTCTGGGCACTGGGTGTGCGCCCGGCGGCGGCTGCAGTTATTCAATATTAATGACGCTGTTTGCCCGCATCATTATGATGATAACTATTACTATTGTTGTGATTCCGAGCTCCGAGGCGAGAGCCACTGGAGGCGGGGAGGGGGGGTGTCGGGCTGCAGAGCCGCCGAGCAAGCCAGCCGAGGCCACCGAGGTCTGTGCTTTGCGTGGGGGTGAGGGGGTGGAAGAAGTGAGCCCAGAGACCAAGTGCAGACTTGCCAAATCCCCCACTTCGGCCATGCCCCGAAGCCCTAGAGCGCGAACTCCCCGTTCCTCCCTACCAAAAATGCCCGCCCCGAAAGAAAGCGAAAACTGCACCCGGCTCCCAGCCCGGCGCGCGCTGGTCTCAGCTCGCGCACGGGGGTGTCGGCCGCGCGCCCGGTCGCTTCTCCGCCGCCCCGGCCAGAAGCATTTTAAAAGTCAAAATGAAGAACAAAGACATACGGGGTGATGGGGGAGAGAAAGGGAATTCTGCCTAACCGTTCCTTCCCCCCACCCCCACCCTCAAGCTCGTTCCTCCCCGGACGAGAATCGCCTGGCAGGAGGTGGGGGAGGCTCTGGTACAGGTTCAAGTTCGCTGAGCTTTCTTGATCTTGTTCTGCCTCCTAGCGACAGAATGGCTCATTCAGCCGACATAGCAGAAGAGGGGGGGGGGTGGTCCTGAGGACGGGGATGGCTCTTGCCCCCTCTGAGCGCCCAGAAAATGAGGAGAGAACTAAGTGGCCCCCTCACCCCCTTCTAAACTGGCCCTTTAACCCATTGCCGGCACCAGGACAGGAGGAGGGGGGACTAACCCTCCCAGCCTTGAGTGTCCCAAGATGGACCCAAGAGGGAGAGGGGTACGAGGCAGCAGCCTAGACTGCGCGCCCCAGTCCGTCCTTTGAGCCCCCACTGCATCCTTCCGAAGAAAGGCCTGGCTTTCCCGAGTCCTGCGAACACTGCCCTTCCTTCCCGCCGATACCTGGCCGGGCTGTAACTTCACACCGCCGCACGCCGAGTCTGATCAGCATCCGGCGCGGCCGGGGGAGTGGGGGGCGGGGGAGAGAGGCGAGGGAGGGATGCGCGGGGGTGGGAAGAGGGAGGGCCCCGCAACGTGCCGGGGCGGGGGAGCTTCCGAAGTGTGTGACAAGTTCCAGGGCCCAGTGAAAAATTCAATTCCCTGGGCGCACCCACCACCACCACCCCTTTAAAAAACACAAAACCAAGTATAGCTGGTCCTTTAAAACTGCATCCAAAATTTAAGAATCATAAATTGGGTAGCGGGGAGGATGTGGGCCCTCTCACGCCTTTCTTTCCATTGCTGCCAAACTTTCCTAAGTGCCCACCGCCCGCCTTTCCAGGAGCAGTCAGCCAGCGGGAGACAGCCAGCACCACCACCTCTTACATAAACTCCCAAGAACCAAAGACCCAGCCAGGCCCTGGGAAGAGGGCAAGACCCAAAGGGTGAAGTGCTCGGGGTCCCAGGATCCAGCACCCTCAAAATGCATACTCAAACACACTTCTCCCCTGCCCTCCCCCGGCACCCCCACCACCTGGCCTGGCCGTGCTCGGGCGCTGGGGGACTGGTGGCCAGATTGGGCGGGAGGTGAGGGGGAAGGGAAAGCACGTGGTGACCTCCCCGCTGTCCGGGGCTGTGGGCAAGAGATATCTGAGAGAGTACCCAGGGCAGAGGGGAGGGGAGCCGCAGAACGCGCTTTTACAGTTGCTTTGCAAAATAAAAATCCTTTGCAAAGCCGAGTTTCACGCAGCCGATTTCGCAGCCTGGAAGGTCGAGAAGAGGTCTGGGCATTGTGCTGAGGACTGACTGGGATCGTGGGCCAGGCTGGCGCGGAGTCACTGCGCGGCCTGCCGCCGTGCCTGGCGGGTGGGCGGCGGGCGCCGGGTGGGCGATCCGGGGCTGGGCTGGGACGCGGCGAGGTCGGGCAAGGCCCGGGCGAGGCCAGGCCGCCACCGCCGCCTGCTCTGGGGCTGCCGCGCCGCGCTCTGTCCTCTGTCTGTTTGTTGGCAGGAGGCTCCCGCACACGCGGTGCTTGTAAACATTCAGACACGAGATTTTTCCCAATCAAAATCCACTTCCACTTTTTTTGAAAATCTTCCAAAAAATAGTAAGAGGAGGGAGTTCCTCTCTCCCTCTCCGTGCCGCCGGCGCCCTAAGTTTGCAACTGAAGGGGTTTTGGGGAACGGGGTGATTGTAAATTTTTTTATACATTAGAGATTGTGAGATTTTTGCCGGGGGAGGGGTAGTGGGGGAGTCAAAGAGAAGACCGTCACAGAGAAGTGTTGGTAGAGCGTTTGGCCTCGGTTTGGGGGCAAGAAATTGTACATTCTCTTGCCTTGTTTTATTTATTTTATTTTTATGTGTGTATTTATTTATGTGCCAGTCTTCTCCTTGCAGCCTCTGAGGCTGGGTCGGGAGGGGCCGGCAGCGGCAACCCAGGCGGCAGCAGTCCGGGCTCCCTCCCTCCCTCTCCCGCGTGCCCCCGGCCGCCTCCTCCCCGGCCCCGGCTCCTGCCCTTCGGCGGCGGCGGCGGCGGCGGCGGCGCGGGAGGGCAAGCGCGAGGAGCCGGCACAAAAGGCAGCGGGACAAACACCCACCTCGGGCCGGAACAAAAGGCGGCAGTGCCGGCCGCGTCTCCCGTCCTTCCCAGTCCCACGGCTCTCCCCGCCGCCACGGCCCCTCTCCCGACTCGGCAGACTCGGGAGCGCCGGGGGCCCCTTTCCACAGTTCCACTTTCTCACTATTGTGGGGATGACTACTTTCCTTCTGCTGCACACTTGACCGTGAGCGCGCTGGTGTCCAAAGGCCAGTCTCACCTCTTTTCTCCCCGGGAATCGTTTTTCAGACTTGCACTCACTCCCTCCCTCCCCCCATTTTCTTACAGAGAGTGGGAAGCAACCTCCCTTTCCCCACCAGCTCCCACCCCCAGGTTTGCCATTGAGTAGTTCGCATCCTTAGCATTGTTCATTATTTTGCAAAACTGGAGGGGGAATCATTGCATTCCTTTTCCAAAAGAGAAATAAAGCGGCGGAAAGGAGGAAAGAGGAGGAGTCAAATTTTTGTAAAATTAAATAAAATTAAAAGGTGCGTGCTGTCTCAAAAGTGCATACATGGCAATGGTTCGAGATGGGATGAGGTTTATTTTCTCCCTTTAATCTCTTTTACCTAGACTCTTGGAGATTTTTCTCGTGAAAAATTTAAAAATGTATGCACACACCCCTCTCTCCCCCTCGCTTTTGCTTCTAGTCCTGCGCGCTCTCGTGATTATTAATAATTATTATTACTATTATTGGGTTACTTACGCGAGAATTCCCGTTTGCTTAAGTGCTGGGGTTTGCCTTGCTTGCGGCGAGACATGGTGGGCTGCGGGGCGGGCGGGCGGCGGCGGCGGCGGCGGCGGCGGCGGCGGGCGGACGACGGCTCGGTTCACATCGGGAGAGCCGGGTTAGAAAGAAGGAGACTCCAGAGAAAATATCTTCATCAGTGCCTTTTGACATCCAAAATAAATTAGAAATAATACAAAGATGGCGCAGGGAAGATGAATTGTGGGAGAGCCGTCATGGCTTTTTTTTTTTTTAAAAAAAAAAAAAAAAAAAAAAAAAAAAAAAAAAAGGAGAGAGAGAGAGAAGAGAGATAGAGGGAGAGAGAGGGAGAGAGAGATGAAAAAAATGGCAAAAGCCCCCCTGAGCTGCAAGTTCAAGTGCGGACGTGACGTCCCTGCGAACTTGAACGTCAGGAGTCTGGATGGACAGAGACACACAAAACATGGGCAGGGCGAGCAGGAGAGAAGGGGAGGAGGGAAGGGGAAGCTCACACCAATGGACACACATCAGGGGCTGGACATGAAAAAGAGACCAGGACAAGCCAATGGCCAGTGCGGGGCGGGGGAGGTGCGGGGCGGGGGGCTCCGCGGACGCCAGACGCGGCCCCCGGGGGAGGGGCAGGCGGAGGGGAGGGGGCGCTGGGGCCGCGAGCTCACCAGTGGCCGCAGCGAGCGCCGCCGCGGTGGCGTGGCCGGGAGAGAAGAAAGGGGTGGCAGGGGTGGGAGGAAAGGGTGGGGGGGAGCAAGACGTGCGCCCTGCTCCCCCCCACACACGCGGACCCTAAAATGAAAGATTATTCTAAAAAAAAAGAGAGAGAGAGAGAGTACACGAGGAGGCTGCAGCCCTGGGCTGGGGAAGCGCGGGCGGAGGGAAGCCAGGTAGAGTTGCTCCCGGACACCCTCCTCCGTACGCACACCCACTTCCCCTCCCCGCCGCCGCCGCGCTCGCTCCCCGCGTGCAGACGCCAGGGGCCGAAGTGAAAGCCCCGAGCCCGCGGCTGCGCTCGGGAAACTTTGCCAGAGGAGAGGACAGCAAAGAAAAATCACCCGAAGTTGAGAGCTGAGCCTCCAAGTTACAGCTCCGCAGCGGGCGAGGGGAGGCGGGAGGGAGCGCACGGCAACGCGGAATCCAGCCCAAGTTTGGAGGGTTGTGGGTCCGGAAGGGCAGCGCCCGGGTCTCTAGGAGCCCGGGCGGCCTGGAAAGAGGGGACAGAGGAGAGGGAGGCGGCGCAGGCCAGGGCCCAAGGGCACCCCCAAGGCCGAGCCAGGGACCGGGAATGAGCGCCCCTACAAGCGACTGGGTCTGAATGCAATTGAAAGCGCCGAGTCCCGGCTCCTAAGGGTCGCAGAAAGAGAGCCCGAGGAATAAAGAACTAGGAGCCAGAGTCTGGCCCTCCAAGGGGCGCGCCGGGGGCCTGGGCGAGAGAGGCGCTGAGGCGTCCACCTCTCTGAGCGGCAGAGGACAAAGCGCGTGCAGTCCCGGGAGACCCAGTCCCTGGGAACGTGTTCCTGGCGCCGCGGGAGGTCCTGGAGCCCGGTCCCTGGGAGGGACACACCCCCTCCCACTCCAGAGCAACTGCAAAAGCACAGAGGGATGGAAAGAAAATGTTTCATACGGGCAGAGCACTACTGTTCCTGTGCTGTTACCCAGGGAAAGAGAAAATGGGGAATGGAGAGAGAGCGACCGGCTCGCAGGAGCAGCGGGGAGGCCACGGTGGTGAGATGACCGCCCCGGGTCAGCGCCGCGCTCCCCAGGCGCTGTGGGCCAAGGCGCACACCCGGGAGCCAGCAGCCCCCTCTCGCCTTTCTGTAGAGGTTCCCTGGAAATTAGGGAAGACCTGTTGGAAAAAAAAAAAAAAAAAAAACCCTGTCTCTTTAATGCACACACGCACACACACGCGCGTGCTGCCGCTGTCAAAAAGCGGGCTTCACTCTGGCGTGGGATACTTTCAGTTTTACGTAAAATGTACAGCAACAGCACCCCCTGCGATTGGAAAGTTTATTCAGAAACGTGCCTGTAAAGTCCCCCGGCGTCTCCCGCCTCCCAGCCTCCCTGCCTGCCAGCACCACTCTGCAGCCGCCGCCGCCGCCGGGCTGATCGCGGTCCGATTCCAAATCGGGAAGGGGCTTGGGGGGAAGAGGAGAATGGACTGAGGTCCAAGGGAGGTGCGGAAGGTGCAGGGTGGAGACGGGTCGCCACGGCCCGCGAGACCCTGAGGTGCAGGTGGATGTGTGTGAGTGTCTGCAGAGCTAGGAGCCCTCCTTCCCTCTCCTCGGAGCGGTTCCACAACCCCCGTCTTCTCATCCCCCTCTTCAGTCTGTGGGGTGTCGTTTCCGTAAACTCACCCACCCGGTGGGGAGCTTTATTGTTTTAAGCGAGGGCCCCGGGCTTGCACGCGCTCACCCGTCTCTCAGCCCTGCGGGCCAGCGGCTGTTTATTCCTGGGTCGTTTTAGTAAAGTTTCAAGTCTACTGTGTTAGAAAATGACTGGCTTGCCTAGCTCGGCGGAGCTTCGGACCCCTCTGAGGAAGAAAAGGAGGTTTTGATGCTCAACACTGAGAGAGATGTGGGCTGGACTGGGATTGTGTCAGTGTAGTTTGCTGTTTGTTGTTGTTTCCCTCCAGTTTAAGGGTGGGAGGAGACCTCAACTTCTGTTTAAGAAGAGGGAATATTCACTAGCAGTTAAGCTCGGTAGCTTGTGTGTGACACCATTTCCCCTTTTCACTGAGTTCTACAGAGCAGGTCAGCATCTCCATTCCACCACAGTCTGTTTTTTGTCTTGTTAAACCAGTCTTGGAGTCTCCAAAAGAATGTCTTCGCGGGGGGTGGCGGAGGAGGAAGAAGTAGGGGACGGTTGGAGGGCAGGTGAAGAGAGGGAAGAAGAAACTGCAATTGGGAGGCCTTTGAAAAATAAGTAAATAAAAGAAAAGCCCCTTCAGGTAACAATGGTGAGCCAGATTCTTTCAGAACCAGGCTTTCCAGATTTGAATATTGTTCCCACCCATCCATAAAAGTCCATCTATGGAGAAGATATATAAATGAGCGAGTGAGTGTTGTGGAAATATATATATGTATGATTTATATATAATGGTGTGTATAAAGCTTTTCGGGGTTGGCTGTAGTGTAAAAAGTAATGACTTTATTACCTCTGAAAGGTTCTGTGGTTCACATTTAACAGTCTTCTGAATTACAATTCATTACACAATTGTGTGCGCTCTAACGACGGCACCCTATCAGGGCCGCTATCTGTGGTTATTTCCAATAAATAACTGGCAACATTTTATTGATTTTCCTTTTAAAAAAAAAAATCATAGGAAATTAAGCACTTAGTTACAAGTAGGTCTGCTATATTATTACACTTGTTTCAGATTCCAGGGGGGTTCCTTCCGAAACCACATCTTAAAACATACATTAAAAGGCCAGTTTTGCAGCTGCTTTCCCTGGGTGCCAATGGAGAGGTAAGCAGCGACCTTTCCTCCATTAACATATATTTAATTTCACCATCATAATATGCCCAGGGTGAAATGGGAACTGCCCTCCGCTCCAGCCCCTCCCCCAGTCAAATTTCACCCAGTCCAGAAAACCAGGGCTGTGTGTTGGCATTTGATCCCTCCTAGTTGTCGACCCCCTCCCCGTCCCTGGTGCTCTCCCCTACAGAGACGCCCCCTCCCTCAGCACTGCTAGATGCTCGCTAAAACGCCCGAAAGTGGGGGAGGGGAGGGTTTGCATGTGTTTAAAGGAAGAAAAATGTGTCGCTTTAAGAGATTTTAAAATATTACATAAGTATTGATTAATGATGCAGGTGGTTTTGTAGAGGGGGTGAAAGGTCACTTTAAACGTGCACACTTGGATACACAATAAGTATATTTACCTTTCCAGAAGTGGCTTTTAGAAAGTAATAAATTATGACAACGTTAAAATTATTTTCTGGCCGTTCAGTTAACTTCGTTTGGGGCTGTAGAGCGGTTGCTGCTCCCATTGAAAGGGTAATTACGTTCTGTGGGCTCTTTCCCAAACCTTTGGTGACGACACTGCGTGTAAACTCCAGGCCAGCAGACGACCCCTCCCCTTCCCTCCTCCCCCTTTTTATCTTGCCCGCGGAGGAGACGCCCCAGGACTTCCTGCAGTATATATTCTGCCTCTGATCTCCGTACTTAATAGCCTAGTCCTAGTTTATGCTTTATAATGTGTTGACAAGTTTTCTAACAGACTTTCTGAAATAATGCACATATATTCACGTCGGTTAGAAACCCACCGTATTTTTAGAGTCGAGTAGATCTATACCCTAATGCAGTGAGAGAGTGTAAATCATACAGGATTTCATAGTCCTTTCAGTAGTTTTCGGTATGAAGTATGAGCCGCGTGGCCTCCAGACGTAACCTTTTAGAAAAAAAGACAGTGCTTTTATTTTATGGTGTAAAGTGCTTTTAGCTCCAGGGCTCTGAACGTGAATGTGGTCAACAAACAGCTCGAAGAGGGAGACTTAATACAGTCCCAGCCCTCCGACGGAGGATCGCCTGGCGCGAGGGACTCGGGCTGAGCTGGAAGATGAAGGGTTAAAAGGTCTCTCTGGATGGAAACTACAAGATTAAAATAAAATATTCACTGTCTGCCTTTAGGGGGAAACACCTTCATAGACTTAAAGATAAATAAGTGAATGACTGAATGAAATTAGAAATACCACCAGTCTCTCCTTGATTTTTACTTTAGCCTTTTTTCTTTTTATTTCTTTTATTATTTTTTTATTTTTTGTTTTGTTTTTCCTAATCGGCAGATCCCAAAATAGAGAACAGGCAGTCAGCCTCATAAAAATAAAACTTAGGTTTGGATTCTATGCTTAACATAGGTTTTGCATTTTGGGTTCTCAAGGATGGGAGTGCTAGGCTGTTGTTAAGACAAAGGAAAAATGAATTTTAAAATGTTGGGGATGCCCGGGTGCCTTGGCTCACACCTGAAATCCCAGCACTTCAGGAGGCGAGGCCAGGAGGATCACTTGAGGTCAGGAGTTCGATACCAGCCTGGCCAACATTGTGAAACCCCATCTCTACAAAAAATACAAAAATTTGCTGGGCATGGTGGATCATGCCTAAAGTCCTAGCTACTTGGGAGGCTGAGGCACAAGAATCGCTTGAACCCTGGTGGGGCAGAGGTTGCAGTCAGTCGAGATCACGTCACCACTCCAGCATGGGTGAGAGACTGAGAACCTGTCTGAAAAAAATAATAATTAAAAAAAAAAATAGTGGGGAGTTGCTTGAGGAAGAGGGTGAGCTTTTCCCTCCTCTACTCCCAGTGTGACCCAGAGGCTGAGAAGTCCCTGGAGAACAGTATCTATACCTTCTACAAAGGCACAGATGTCCTCCAAGAAGGCTCCTGGGAGAACCATTAGGCTGGCATTTTTCTCTCCAGGCTCCCTGGGCCTTTAGCTGGCTGGCTGTCTGCACTTCAAATACCTGATAGAACTCATCCAAAGAAAAAGGAAAAGGGAAAAGAAAAGGAAGGGAATGAAATGGAAAAGGAAGGGAAGGAAAAGGGAGAGGAGGGGAGGGGAGGGGCTGAATCTACTCTAAGTCTATACTTACC